AAATGTCTGTCTTGAAAATTATAAAAACTTCTATAATTTGAATAAATAAAAAAGAGACAACTATTGGAAGAATTATAGAGCTAAGAATATAGGTATCACGTTAAGCAATGATGTGCCTTGTGTTAGAATATCTTTGTGAAAAATAAAAAAATTAACTATTTCTATTCTGTTTTTAGTATACTAAGTTCCTGGACTAAGTTATAAGAGTTCTAGTCATTTGATTTTACATCATAATTTTCATTGATATCGGAAAACCTAATTCAACTTTTTTGAATCATTGGAACTGCTGACAGTCTTTTTTTTTACTTAATTAAAAATTTATGAGAATTTCGTGAACGAACAAAATAAATGAATTAAAATAAATTAAATTTTTTTATTTAGCTCAACCTTTCTTGCCATCACAGCCTAAGCACCATTTAAAAGTCATATTAAAATCAGTTTTGAGGCAAAATCTTATTTCACATAAATAAATTTTTTAATAAAACATTTGGTTAAATTGTGAAACCTTCAAACCTAATAAGTGTCCAGCTGGAGTTTCTGCTCCTTCAATAAATTGTTTTCAGGTTTGGATGTATTCTTGTTTTGTTGTTGTTGTTGTTTTTGTTGTTGGAGTATATATATATTCTGCTTTTACTTGGAGCATGGAAAAAAGGCAACTCATAAAAATTCCACAATTACAAGGATAAGGATACAAAAATGAGATTGTTGTCTGCTATGCTGTTGTGCTGTTTAAGCTTTAAACTTTTTCAAATTTATTTGAAAGTTTTCTAATTTGTTCTTCTTCATTTTTAATACCCAATCTCATTTGCCATCGCCATTATTCTTCTTGCAGGCGCTGCGCCAAGTGCTTCACAAATGTATTCCCAGTAACGTGCACCAAGCTACACGCTCTATGCTTACAGCACCGCACTGCCTGCTCCCTGCACTTTTGCACTCACAATATTCATCCTAGTCTGCTGCTCCCGCTTCTGCTGCCGATGATGCTCCTACTCCTGCTGCTAATGTTGATGCTGTCTTTTGTCGGATTTATCGCACCTTCGCAGGAATTCTGTTTACATTTATTACTTTGTGCAAGTTAAAGTGAAAAAATTTCCATAAACATTCTTTTAAGCGACATAAAGTTTGTTACATTTTGTTTCAAATTTTTTTCTTTCTTATTTTTGTACTTTTTTCTTATTAATTTCTACTTTTTGTTGTGCCTTACACAACAAAACACAACTCAATAGAACAATACCAGCAGAAAGACTTGCTTAAGTATGCAGATGGATGCCAATCCTCAATGAAACCTTAAGGAACAATGTGAAGGGAACGACTCCAAATTCCAAATCCTTGTATGACTTCATAAAAATGTGCTTAAAACATTGGTAATTGTCGACCGAGAAACCGACGCGATGTTATGTTTAAGATGTGAACTCTCTTCTTGACAGATACAGTAACACAACAACAACAATAGCAGCAACAACAACAACAGCACCAAAAACAACATCATAAATCGAGGCGCTGTTAGTGACACAATGAGTTTTACTTCTAATGTGTTGTTCCCCAACAATTTTCAGTGTTCACCATTAAAGTTGCGCCCGCCCGTATTTAATTAAAAAGATATATTAGCGTGCGGGCGGCATATGAATCTGGAAGGAACTTAAGCATTGGGTGCCGGTGAAGGGGTAATGAGGCGCACTAAATGAGCAGCAGCTGGTTGGATGCTTGGAATGTAAGGTAATCGGTGAAGCAGTTACTTGAATCGGTGAAAACATTGTTCATACGCCTTGCTTTAAAATTTGGATTCATCTACGGAAAACATTTGTAATTAAATAAAAACAATGCCTGAATTATGTTGTGTTAAGTACTAAAGAAATTAGAAATTATCTCAGATTTTTGCTAAATTGCTTTAGAGTTATACGATATTTGTTGCGAAAGATTTAAATTTTTAATATTTGAAACAATCTTATTTAAATGTATTTTACACCTACAACGGCATTAAGTAAGTAAGTTTAAGTTTTTTTAGTCTATTTGTACTAGAATTCAATACAATAGTCTCAGTATATAAGTTATTTATTAGACTCCTAACCACTAACTACTAGATAGAATGTCTATCTACCAATTTGAACTTTTTAAACCCCAATATTTTTCTATAACGCACAATTTTTATTGTGTTAGTATTTGCCTAAGAATTCAATACAATAGTCTCAGTATATAACTTATTTATTAGACTCCTAACCAATAACTACTATATAGAATGTCTATCTACTAATTTGAACTTTTTAAACCCCAATATTTTTCTATAACGAACAAGTTTTGTTGTGTTAGTATTTGCCTAGGTTAGGTTAGGTTATACCGGTGATCCCTAGTGGATCCACTTAGGCCTTTTGGCCCATTGTGATGCCGTATATAAATACTAAAAATCTCAGGGTTTAAAACCACCTAGAACCTTTTGCGAAGCATAAAATGCTATTTAAAGCCCGATCCTGTAACTGGTCCAGGTCCTCAAGGAAGGGGGCCCCTAGAGTACTAAATCGCCGACGTGCAAGAGCTGGACAAAAACACAACAGATGAGATGCGCTCTCATCGTCCTCCCCACAGCTACGACAGATTTGGTATTTGCCTAAGAATTCAATACAATCGTCTCTGTATATAAGTTATTTATTAGACTCCTAACCACTAACTACTAGATAGAATGTCTATCTACTAATTTGAACTTTTTAACCCCAAAATTTTTCTATAACGAACAAGTTTTGTTGTGCTAGTATTTGCCTAAGAATTCAATACAATAGTCTCTGTATATAAGTTATTTATTAGACTCCTAACCACTAACTACTAGATAGAATGTCTATCTACCAATTTGAACTTTTTAAACCCCAATATTTTTCTATAACGAACAAGTTTTGTTGTGCTAGTATTTGCCTAAGAATTCAATACAATAGTCTCTGTATATAAGTTATTTATTAGACTCCTAACCACTAACTACTAGATAGAATGTCTATCTACTAATTTGAACTTTTTAAACCCCAATATTTTTCTATAACGAACAAATTTTGTTGTGTTAGTATTTGCCTAAGATGTGTAGACACAAAATATCAAGCCGCCAGACCTTGCATTTGGGCGTTAAAGAACCTCAGCTTGGCAGCATTTTATTTATAGAGAGGTATACTACCGATTCCTTCTTTTGAAAGTAAAGATAAAATCAGTTATTGATCGATAAATTGAGTAACTAATCGATCCATCATCGATCGATTTCACTCAGTTTTAATTGCAATGAATGGATTACATTTATTTGAAGTTTTTCTAGAATTGCATATTGATGGATAACTCTTTCTTTTACCTATTTACAAATACAGATATTCAACAAAAAACTTATATGGATACAAATATAGGCATTGTTTTAAGAAAGTATCCAGAAAAAGATACTAATAGTTAATATAACAATGCAAGGGACAAAAATGTACGGCTTTGAATAAAGTAAAATGATTGAGATAGTCCATTAAGTGGTAAAATAAATACATATGTATTAGGGCTGTAAATATGTGACGTTTTTGTTACAGATACATAAAAGAAAAGTAACAAGGAAGAAAAGTAAAGAAAATTAAGTCGAGCTTTTATTTTGAATTAGTTTGTTGACAGCACTTCTACAGGGTCATACTCTTGGAGTATAACCCTGTAGGTACTCTGGAGTAAATTATAATACCTAGTTGGAAATATGATTCGACTTTTAAAAATATATTGTTTTTTTATCTAGTGTTCTCTTGTACTTATCTAAAAAAGATAAAGATATGGAATGTTTATTAAAAAACATAGATACCAGCTGTCGTAGAAAATCCTACAATAAGTTCTGTCAAAATTGCAGGATCATCGGAAAAGTTGATTGACAATATTATTAGTGATGCTACACTGCATCGCAGGTTGAAAGATGATAATATTAATATCTATGTGGTGCACAAAATTCTGAATTTTACTCCAACGACGCTATCAAATCTTCTCTCATTTGCTTGGAAGTATATTAGAAACCTATACAGTTTTGGTACGATATGTTATGGACGGATGAATCTGCATATCAATTCTAGGGTTCGTTTGTTAAGCACTTCATGCATTTACGACACGATGATCTTTTGGGAATGTCTATCATGCTACAGATTTGAAGATTTAGTACCGATAACTGGCACCTTTAACCAGTCCGGTTATATTGGTATTTTAAATAAATAGATATATTACAAATATAGCTAAATTACATTTTTCAACCTTGGAATTCTTAAAGCCATACTTTATTTTTCCTTTATAACTTAATAGCAATGATGACAATCACTTGAAGACATTTATCTTATATAGTAGGAGTAAGAAAACAGATTGAAATATTAAAGGTAATCTTAAATTAGAAAAGCCTTAAATTTTTGAATAAAATTATCTTTCTTTGGGCAACTATTAAGTTAATCCTGGCTGAGTTCCCAGTTAAATGCAGTACTTGACAACTGTAGGGGCGCTTTTAACCAATTAAATATTTAACACGTATGCATATTTTTTGGAGTATTTAAGTTGATTTATGCTAGCAATAACTCGTTTACATTAAGTTCTCATTATATTTCCATAATATTCATTTGGGTACTTTGTCTACTACCCACAACTATAATTAAAATAAATTGTCTGAAATTAGAAAATTATTATTGGAATTGAATTTCATTACTCCATTTAAAATTGAATCATCTAAATTTTTATTAAAAAATTCGGCCATTTAAAATTATCGACAACACAAATTGAGTTAGCTAATCATGGGCAACGTTTGGCCATGCTTGCTTCGGATGGAAACCACAATTGCCCCACTCCATCGACGACGAATGATAATCAATTAAATTCTTGAAACCACAAAATGGCAAAAATATTAAAACTAAAAATTACAAAATTTAAATAAAATGCGTACAACAGCAAAAATTTGGTGGTTTTCACATTTTGCGTGAGCGAACTCGGCGCGAGCAGACAGCATGTCTAACCAAATTAAATTCCAAACTACTCACCTCGACCGCCGCGTTGTGGGATCCTTCATTACCATAGCCTCTGAAATATCACCAAATCTGCTGAAATAGTCTCGTAAATTCTCTGTAATAAGACAAAAATTAAATGTTAAAAATATTAAACAAATTGTGTGTGCATTGAGTTATGCTGGGGAGCTACGAAGATGCTTTCTGTGCAATGGAACATAAAAACACTGAGGGGGCTGAATTGGAGTAGAAAAGTACATAAACGCTTGGCAGTAAAGCCATTATTCACACGCAATTGTCTGCGGTTTAAGAGCTAATCAGAAAGTCTGTGCATCATTTTCACTCCCTTGGCTCTTGCCACGAGAAAATCAGTTGCCAGTTCTGGTGACAGTACCAGTGCCAGTGCCAGTACCAGTGCCAGTGCCAATTGCTTTAATATTCTTGGTCCAGCTGGTATTTGCCTTCTATAAATACTCGCAGCTACAAATAGATATGAGTTGCAAATATAGTGGAGTGGGAGCAGTGAAACTGGAAAGCTTACGCTTGTTAACGCGCCTTTTACTGAAGCACATCATAAATTTAAAGTATAATAAAAATTCAATAAAACAAACGACTCACTTTGGTGCAATTTGGCTTACTCTGCGGCCACCAGTTGCACAACGCATCAACAGCATGAGCCTCTAGCCTCTAGCCTCTAGCCTCAACCCTCAGTAACGTCAACAAACAACTAAATAATACACAGCAGAAATGCCAAGACTATATTACGCCGATTCATAGCTGCGGGCAGAGTCGCCGCATGATTTAAGTATGCACAATAATTATGAACAATAAAAACAATTTATTTGCTTATGACAGTTTAGGCTCATAAATTACAGCAGCAGTGGCCGCAGCTAGCAACTGCTTGCAACTGCAACACTCAAAACTGTGGCTATGTTGCAACCGTGCGGAGAGCTGCAAATGCGAAGATTCCAGACCCAGGCTACTCGAGCGTCGGAACGCAGGATTCCAGCTAATTTGAATGATATTTTTGTGCAACACTGCAACACTGCAAACTGCAGCTGATGCCAAATGTTGCATGTTCCTACTATTGGAACAAGGTTTTTGCCTTCCTAAAGATTTTATTTGGAATTTATTTTTATAAACATTTTTGGTAACAGTTTCGCTGCTTATTTTGACATTTATACATTTTGACATAAAGCACTTTTGCGAGAGTGCAAGTTGCACATAAAAGTCAAGCGAACATAAAAATTGTGGCGTGAATGTTTTTAATTGTAGCCGCAGAATAACAAACCGATTTTATGGATTTCTGACAGACAAATATGTTGCACAATTGATATTTCAACAACATATTTTATCTGCAGCAAACAGAATACATACATCTGGCTTATAGTTCTAAAATGACTGTCATCATAAAAGAACAGTGGAGCACGACATGAATTTTATAATTTAATCAACGTTTTCTTATCGATATAATTGGAACAGTACAGATTCATATATTCAGTGCACTTAGTGGAACAAAATACCACAGACACCGTAGATCTTTTGGTTTAACAGCTGACTCTAACAGCACTAAAGACTCTCGATCTATCTAAACATGAATGTCTCTCGTCACCGATTTCTTTATACCAAACGAAAATGAAAACTTCAAACATAATAGTCTCCATCTGGTTCAGATCAGAACCTAACAGTAATAACGAATGTGACAATAAGCTCTATCTAGACTGTCACCCTACACAGACCTATCTCGCAAAGATGGTAACGCAGGTGGAAATATGTTATTAGCGTACCTCTTAGCAACATAAGTTCAATTCTACTGGAGATGAAAAAACCTTTATAGTTTTAAGGATTTTTATAATCATTTTCTGTATCATTAAAGTTACACTAATGATTTCCAAATTACTGTTGCCGGAACGTTTCTATGATGGAAATGTCTATGGTTTATTTGAAGCTTATTCCATCTATCAGATCTCAAGATCGACCTGGTTCAAACAATATCCCACGAAACTGTGTGAACCCTATAATGACTTAGGTCGCTATTACGCCTCTGCACATGAGGAGGAAACTCTACTCCAACTTCTGTGTTTATGTTCAGCATTGGATTTAGTATTTTGGGGCTACCGATCTGACGTAACTAACTTTCATATACGGTTTAAGATTTAGTCGAAACAAAGTTGCTCACTAACAAATGCCAGAATTTTTGTCCGTTAGTAGTAGATATATATATTTTAATATAGACATGTAAACACATCTACGCGAAAAACATTATCTTTTCAGTTGGCATAACAATAAAGTGTGACTATATGAAATTGACTGTCTGCTTAACATCGATCATGAATATAAATAGAAAGAGCTTAGTTTATTCATAATGTGATTATCTGAATAATATGACCTTTATGGAGATCACTGGCTTAAGTACTTCTTCGTTTAAGACAAGAAGTCTGACTTATAGACTTATAAAACGAACACTGGAGTATAGTGTCATATAATATTTTCAGCGGGTTTTTCAAAACAATACATATATTGGAACTAAACTAAAGACTGCATTTTTATTAAATTTTGACTAATACACTTTAAAATCGAAAATACCTTATCAATCGTTAGGTTTGAGTAGTCAAGATGTAATAGTACTCATATTTATTCTTTAATTGGATTTTATGCTTCAAAATACTGATCAATCAATTTGGCTTTAATTAGGTATATTCCATTTTGATATTACTCACCAACTTTTCAAACCGAATATTTCAATTTATATTTTTCTTAACAAAGAAAATTTTAGTATCTTGATTTTGGGTATATGCAATACACCATCAAATATGGAAAACCCATTTTAATTAATTTTTTTTACACTGAAACCGCAATCATTCTTCATGTGCACACAGAAATCAGCTTCGAAAGCTTATGTAAGACTCCGGATACTGCATACACTCAATATGCAAAGTAGCTTTGCCGCATAAAAGATACTCAAACAATAACCAAATGTTACCAAATTCAATTATGAATATATGCACACTTGACCAAGTGCCAAATGGCCAGCTCTTAACAGGCAAAGGATAGTCTAACCAAGCTAATTGCACGAGCACAAATGTGTGAGTAAAGTCACAAGCCGCAAAATTTGATGCAAGAAATATTAGAATTGATGTCTTCCTACAGATTCCATTCCTACATGCTCGCTCTCATACTCTTACACAGACCACCCTTCCTAACTCGATGAAAAAGTTACTTACCGGAATTGCTAAATAATCAATCAGGTTAATTACGGATCAAGAATTTTTAATTTATTGGCCAATGGTTTTACAAAAAGATTACTTTATACCTCAAACCACTAATTTTCAATGGAGCAAGAGAGAGACACAGAGCAAGAGGGCAAGAGGGAATGAAAAGCATCTGGATGAAAATATATAATTTTACGCGCATGTACTCATATTACTTTTTTGGACTGACATGCCTCAGAGCACATATCAGGTTAATGCCAGCGGCAGATTTTGCTAGAATCGTTACAATTTCTTTGGCTGTAAGTCAAAATGTTCCGATTATGTGAGTATGTGAAACTAAATTGAAATTATTGTTGCGGGATTAGCAGACAACATGAGCAGTGTTCATACCAGCAGCAGCTGATTTGCCCTACACCTACCTAGCGACCGCACTCTACCACAGCCCATAAATATATCCGTTTTAGGTTTGACAAAAACATAAGGGATTTCAATCAATTGCACAAAATGCGTTCATATATATGCACGTACGGCGGAAAATACGCCTGCCTATGAGCACACATTGACATGCCGACCCATAAAGCTTAGCCGAGTGCCTGAGTGCCTGAGTAGCTGAGTAGCTGTGTTGACTGGTTGACTGGTTCGGCTTATTTGTAGCTGCGGCTGTAGCTGTTTGCGTAACTAAAACCTGCCACAGCTAAGAACCATTTTTCATTTCGATGTGCGTACGTATGCGTACTTCTCGACCAACTTTTGACAAAGGTCGTCGGTTAAACAGGTCTCAAGTTTTTACTACTTAAAACAAACTAAAACACAAATGCACACAAGTCGAGCAAAGTCGAGAAAACTAAGGCACAAAGAAGTATCATAGAGCGGAGCATAAGACGCAAATTGTATGCAAGCCTTTGTGCCACTCGACTCCACCGTACCCCTGTCGACACTGTTAAGCTGTGCTGTGGCATGACTGCGGCTGTTACCGGAAATATACTGCTGCCATGTACGGAATACAAAGCCACAAATTTAACCAAAATCAGGCAACAGAAAAAAAACATAATAAATTTATAAATTTTGCTTTTGTTATTATTGTTATTGTAGTTATTGTTGTTGCGGTTGTTGTAGTTGTAGTTGTAGTTGTAGTTTACGTCATTTAAACTTTTGCATACATTTGTGTTTTAACAATTTGTTAAAATTGCCCGAAATGCTAAAGATGAAAAAAATCAAGACATTTGTGCTGTTAAACATCCAAAGTAGATTATTGTAGTGATGGAGATGAAGACAAATGATGTCGGGTGGATCGCTTCTTACTTTTTTGAAAAGAAAAAAATTTTTTATGAATATTTCAGCAGTTTTCCCAAACTCCTGCGGGCTATTTGACACCGCATTAAGGTGTAAATAAAAAATCAACATAAATTCAATAAAGTTCAATGAAAAAAACCGAAAAATTCCAAGTTCAAAGTTTATTATTTCTCAAATTAAATCTGCAACATTCTTTCTACAGTGAAGCTATTCTTTTAGTTGAGCTACCTCCCATTGCCCGGCTGGAAAGCACAATGTGTAGTATGTTAATGTTCAATAATGTTGTTGTATCTACTACAACCAAATATTGCAGCTTCTTTCAAGTAAATGAAATACGTTGAACTCAAAAGACTTCACAAACTCGCAGCCTTACGGAAAAAAGGTCAAAGTAACTCGTCCTGAGGGTGGCGACTACGCACGTATCAATTGCAAATGAAGGCAACAGAAATTGACGGTTCCCAAAATTTAAGAGCTACGAGTGAACTGTTTTTGTGCATGCAACGAACCAGAAGGATTTTCTTAAATATGCAGCAAAACAAGGCAACCAAACAAAGAAGTCAAAAGGGTCGCATGTTGATCTAAACGCATCCATGTTCGGTTGGCTCAAAGGGTT